TTATTATTGTTGTTGTTGTTGTTGTTGTTGTTGTTGTTGTTATAAAGAAAAATAATAAGTTTTAAACATAGCTGCTGGGAGAGTCGATCAAATCAAAGCTGCATTAGTGCTTCCATTATTTAAGTTTGATTAAAGACCTTTTCTTCAAATCACTTATTGATTCTGAAAATAAATATAGAGTCTGATATATTATATGATTTATGTTTTACCTCCATAAAACTTCCAATAAAAGCTAAGGTTGTTGTAAAACTGCTCTCACGTTTATTGTTCTCAGTAGAAATCTTTGTTGCGGTAATAATTTATATATTCATTAAATGTTCAATTGGATTACGTGGATGAGAGAATATATTTCATGCAGAAGTAAAAATGGCACGAGCAGGATGAACTGCAATCAATTTGTCACTAATTGAAGCGATAAAAAACAGCACTTGGAGAGCTGATCTCAGAAAGTTTGATCATTAGACAACTTTGACTGGATGGATTATCTTTAAGTGTGTCACCGCCTCCATTAGGTAAAATGAAACGGCTTGTCAGGTTCATTTGTGGTCCTCTTCAAAACTTCAACACAACAGAAGTGACCAAAAGTTTTGCTGATTGGCAGTTTTACTTTGATTCATGTCATGAACTACGGCCGTGCTTCTGAACCAAAGTTTCTTACTTTATATTTTCTTTAAAAATCAGATCCGATTTAAAAAAAAAACTGATGAAAGTTTGTAAAAGAGTTTGTTTGATTAAATAAGTGAAGCTCCTCCTGCTCCTTGTTCATGTTAAATATAAAAGGGTTCTTTTTCCTTTAAGGAGGGCTGAGGGGGGTGATGTTCGACAGAAGAGCTGTTTTGTTTAATTATAAGCTTCATTTTCTGTCATTCCTGTGGCGTGTTGAGTAATCAGCACTGAAGTGTGTTAAAGTTCAATGTGGAACAACAAACGCTTCAGACCCTCGTTCCTGGAAAATGTTTCTGTTGTGAAAATGCGGAACAGAACATCAGCTAAGGGCTGTTTTTTCCACTCATATCTGCTAAAATCACACATCAAACTCACAGAAGTGACTCTTCTCAGTGTGAAATGGAGCGTTAATAAATAAAATAAGCAGCCGTGCACGCTTGTTTACATGAACAATTAAATGTTAGCCCCCTTTGAGAAGCCGTGGCTCAGATTATAAAGACGACAACCTTCTAATCTTATATTCAAAATCTTCTAATTTACTCAGTAAATTTTAATCTAGAACTTTCTTCCAGTCTGTTTCACTGACGCTGCATGGATGGCTGTTAAAATAAATTTAAAATAAATGAACCAATGTTTTATTGTCTGTTGCAGATGATAAAGTGGGGTTTGTACTGGGAGCTGTTGGGTCCCTCTCAGCTTTGATCACCATGGGAATAATGATCAAACTGCACAACAGGAAACTGAACAGGTGGGCTACAAAATAATTATCTCAGAAAAGTTTGTTTGTGGCTCAAGAAGAGAAAATATGAGGAAGATGATTAGAATTTGCAATTCTCTAGTTTTGTTTCTTCTAGCTACAGTTTTAGCTGGTGAAGCTTCTGACACTTACCTAATATTACACAAACTTTGATTTTTACTTATAGTTTTGCTACTTCTAGCTAGAGTTTTGCTGATCATAATAGCATGTTTTGCTAATTTAAGCTACTCTTGTGCTTCTTTTTTAGCTATATGCTAACGCACTAAGCTCTGATCTGCTGCCTTAAGCTTCTGAAACTTACTGTATCCTTTAGCTATTTTGTGACTTCTGGATTTTAGCTAGTTTTGCTGATAATAGCTATATGTTTTGCTAATTTAAGCTACTGTTTTACCATTTTTAACTAATGTTCTGCTACTTAGCTTTTGAGTTGCTGCTTTAAACTTATGACACTTATCTTTTAGCTACTATATTGCAACTTTTGTTTTTTTAGCTACAGTTTTGCTGCTTGTAGCTAGAGTTTTTCTGATAATGGCATCTGTTTTCTCATTTAAGCTACTGTTTTGCTCCTTTCTTAGCTAATGTTCCACCATTTTTAGCACTTTATTTGCTGCTTTTAGCTTCTGAGACTTATCTTTTCTACTATTCTGCAGCTTTTGGTTTTAGCTAGCTTTTTTACTTCTGTCTAGAGTTTTGCTGATAATGGCATCTTTTTTGCTAATTTAAGCTACTGTTCTGCTCCATTTTTATGTTATACTTCTTTTCACTTTTGATTTGCTGCTTTAAGCTTATGACACTTTTAGGTACTACTTTTCAACCTTTGCATTTTAGCTAAGAGCGTTGCTTATAATAGCATGCTTTGCTAATTTCTGTTGTTCTGCACCCTTTTTTTCTGGATCAAAGACTACCTGACAAACAGACCACAGTTTGTGAGACTGAAGGACTGTGTGTCTAACCATGTGGTCAGC